TAATTGGCATATTAAGCTCGACTCGAGCAACTCGTCTTGTTGAACTTTACTGTCACGGACAAAAAGTCCTACATCTGCTAGGTGTAGGGCCGAAAATTAGTATTTAAGTCCTGGGCTGCCGACCACCCCTAAAAGCTCTTTTGGGATGTGACAAGTGGTATCAGTGCAGATTATTGTCTGCCAGGTGTGTGGATTCCCCATGGTCCAGTGGAATTCTCGGCGGAGTTGATCCGTGACGAGGGCGTCACGTGATTGGGTGGAAGAAAATGTCACAGACAAAAAGTCTCACATTGGCTAGATGTAGGGCCGAAAATCAGTATTTAAGACTTGGGCTGCCCACCACTCCTAAGAGCTCTTTTGGGATGTGGCATTAAGTTGAGATAGAGTTGATCATACACTCGGTATAATGCACCAAGATGAGGGTTAGCGAACAGCTTGAGTTAGTAGTTTGTGTTTGATTCATTTGTTAAACTAACAAGTTAAGCACGAATAATTTTATTGAGCTCGATTTATAAATCAACCAAACACGAATAAATTTTTAATCGACCATATTCTGATCATTTTAGCTTGAATTAATTAGTTATTTAGTTTTATTATTATTATATTTTTATATTAGATTTTAACGATTTGTGTACATATCTACCTCACAATTCTTATGGACTTACATGTTGAACATATCATTTTTGATAATTATATTTATAACACTTCGGTGCTATAAAATTATGGAGTAAAATATTAAAATAGTTCCCGATTATTTAAATTGGGTTTTGAAATGCCAAATTACTTTAAAATTCTTTTTTTAGTTGTGTTTAAATAGTCCTCTAAAAGACTTATAATTTAATTTAAAAATTAATATTTTTTTCTTATGGAAATGTGCATTAAAAAAAAAAGGTGTGATTTTTTTGATGTGATGTGATACGAAAGATTTGAGGGGTATAAATATAAAAAAATAAATTGTAGGTGTTAGATATGTAAATGCATTTGAATTGGGCGGTATGTCATTTTTTTCGCGGGCATCTCAGTTTTTGAACTCTACGTGCAGGTTTCGACGGCGTGGAGATTCACGGGGCCCACGGTTACCTGATAGACCAGTTTCTCAAAGACGGCATCAACGACCGGTCCGACCGTTACGGCGGTCCGCTACAGAACCGTATCCGGTTCCTCGTCGAACTTGTCCGATCCGTGACCTCTGCCGTTGGGCCGGGCAGAGTGGGCGTCCGAATATCCCCAGCCATTGACCATCTCGAGGCCCATGACTCCGATCCCCTTTCCCTCGGCCTTGCCGTTGCCAAGAACCTCAATGCGATACAGAATACCGCCGGTGAGAAGCTCGCACCCCCCCC